AGATCATGACCTGAGCTGAAGTCAGAAGCTTAACCGACTGAGCCCCCAGGTACCCCATAACCCTCATGGACTCTTAAGTGAAGACTTAAAGGCAGGCTTTGCTCAGGATCAGGGGGGAACGTTTTGAGAAATAAACACAAGGAGTTGGGTGAGCCACCAAAACGGTAACGGAGCTTCATAATATTATTTTAAAACCACAGATATATATTTATATTATCATATTTATATGTAATCATGGTTTTTAATTATAATCATCTTTTAAAATATTTTCTAAAGACTACAAAAATATATGGGGAGACAGGCAAGTGATGTGTCTCTCAAGCTGGATGTGTGCCTTTTGAACAGTCTTTCCATGTTAGCAATGTACTGATTCTTAGGCCATCTCAGATTGAAGACATACATCAATCAATTTATACATTAAATGCAACAAACATTTTAGGTAAGTAATCCCCTTGGGAAATGATGATAACTCATGGACATTCTCAGATGTTTTCTGCCTTTTTTTTTTTTCTCTCCTAGAGAAATAGGACATTTTAAAACATAAAAACGAGGATAAATGGAAAGAATATCAAAACAGCAAGGCAGAATATCGCCTTTGGCTGCTCTATGGATAGAGGAGTGGGGGGTTCAAACTTGTTAAAGATATCAGGGTGGAAAAAAAATCTTTAAAAAAACTCAACTGAATTCTGATAACTGGACTCGAAAACCTAGTCACAAATATTAGGGGTTTTTATTTAAAATTGAATTTGACAGTGATCAATAAAGTGAACCATTCAAAAATGAAATTTAAGTCCTTTTATCCATTACCTTATGAGTTTGAAAAGAAGTCTTGCAATGGAAGATGTAAAAAATACTGATACTGTAGCAAATAGGTTATTTTTAGTCGAGGAAAACATTGGAAGAAGGATTTGTATGGCTATAATAACTGGCTGTGTGTATGTGGGTTTACCGTACATCTAAACATGTCAAGTCTATTATTGACTGTGTGCATTACAAGTCACAGTAAAGTACAGGCACTCTTGAGTCAAACCTCCCTCGAGGTGGGCTGGAGGTGAAAGGGATAATGAGGGTCCTGGCCCTCCCTCTGGTCACCATCTGGTCATCAGGAGAGGCTGTGGTCTTCTTTCTTGACTGAATGAGGTCAGGAGGATGGAGGGAGGGTTGGAACGCATAAGGGCTAATTAATTGAACACAGTGGTAAGTCTACGCATCTTGAACCCAAGTGTGGAATGCGAGCTTTGCCTCTCTCGGGAGCTATGAAAACACGTATGAGAAGTCCGAAGGTGTCTTCAGGGGGCACTCCGTGAGGAAAGCAGAGCCAAGGAGAATCAACTCTGATGGGTTTCATCCATGAGCCCACCCCTGAGGAAAGCACTACCCCCTCCCAAAGGCGGGGGCTCGGCCATGTTCACGTTCGTCCTTCGTCTGTATCTGTGGTTCGGCATTTGTGGAGAATGGGTTTTGTTCTCTCGTTTTCACCGTGGTTGGGATCTCTTTCTTTGGTCTTCACGCCACTGCGTTTCTATTCTTTTCTTCTCCTTCACACATTTGTCACGAGGAGAATCTTCCAGAACCAGCCAGAGGTGTCATTTTTCAAAAGTGACAATCTATCATGACAAGGCTGATAGGTAAATTCTGATAATTGTGTGTCAGATGCTTTTCTAAGTTCTTTACATGCAGGGATCCCTGTTACTTCTCAGTAACCTTATCAAATAGGTCAATGAACCACATTTCACAGGTGAGGACACTGAAACAGAATAGCTGAAAAACCAAGGGCTTTTCCCAAGGTCACAAAACTAGTACAGATCAGTTATTGAGTTGATATAAACTCTACACACTTAGGAATGGAGTTGTGTTCCTTTGTATCCTAACTAGTGATGAATACACATCTTAGTGAATAACTCACAATATTATTAATTATGAAAAACAATGAAACTAAGATAGTATGGGTTTGCTCTATATGGGTGTATCCTTTTGAGGACTTTTGTTTGGGACAGGTCACCAGTGAACTGGAGATGGTATTTGCTTTCACATTAGCATTTAAGACACCAACCATATACTTATTTCTCATAATACAGCAAAAAGGGAGAACTAGAGAGAAGACTCTGGCCTTTGGATATGTGGGAAGGAAAAAAAAACTATTAAATCTAAAGACGTAATTTTACATCTCTTTTTATTAGGATTTGGATCCTGGGATTTCGCTTTAAGGCAGACATATAGTAAGGGGTGCTAATTAAGTGCACTATATAGAAATAATAGGTGTGGGCAATCGCTTGGCCTGTCGTAACTCGTAACCCTTTGTACACAGACGATTTGTTCCTTTAACTTGCAGAAACGGACCTCCTGCAAGTGAGAGGTACCTGCTCCCCCCTTCACAATAAAATCCCACTGGTGTTGTCAGAGCCACTGTCTCTCGGGCTGAGACACGGCAAAATCTCTAAGTGAACGTTCAATAGTAACTCATTTATTTCATATACAACTGAACCTCAGCAAACATGACCGATACGTTTACATGTACAAGGATGGAATTTCGTTCTTCTAACGTGGTGTGGTGCTTAAGGAGTCTTTCATGTGCATTTTTCTCCAAGAGTATGAAATTGCTTGTAGAATATACAAGCTTGGTATGTTGATTGTTTTTAAAAAAATCTACTTCAGTACAGTGTTTTGTATCATACAGTTCCATACTAGGCACATCACTATTTATATTTGTATGCCTTTATATTCTTCAAAGACTTTCATGCAGATTACTACGTCATTACTTTTTTTCCTCTTAAATCGTGACCTTTACACCTGTCCTCAATTTTAAAACAGTTGTCCGTTTGGGCTGACACCATTCCAGTGAGCACGTGTGGCTGTTGCTATCGTTTTCCGATTCTGTGTCAAGAGCCGTAAGAAAATACGACATCTCAAAGGCTGAACGTGATTTGCCATTTTATCTCGACGCCTTGGTTCATCACTCAACTTGGTGCTAGCAGGTTTGGCGACACCCGGGGTCTAGGGAGAGACCTACGTCGGGGATGCTGCAGTGGGACATGGGGACAGGTCAGTGTGAGACACAAAGGCTGCTTATGTGGCTTCAGGCACGTGACTGAGGTGGGCGGTCATCAGAGAACCGTAGGAAATGTGGCTGCAGGGAGACTTGGCCAGACCTCGGGGAACGTGTGGGCTTCACTAAACCAAGGTGCAAGGTCCCTAAAAGTTTGGAGCACAC